AGACACAATTACGGCCCCAGCTAGGTGGCAATACTTTGCAGGGTTAGGGCAATGTTCTCCACGAGGCTGTATATACTTTAAACCAGCATCCAATATGTGGTGCTGTTTCTCCCACAGCCAGGACTCACAGTTCCAGGAATCAAGGGGTGGAAACGGGAGTGGCACCGCTCACTATTACCCCTTGTGCACCACTATGCTCTGTGGGTCTGGAGGTCTCAGTTCCAAAGGGAGGAATGCTCCCAACTGGAGACACAACATGGATGTCACTAAGCTATAAATTAAGAATGTTACCTGGCCACTTTGGGCTCCTCCATCCTCTGGATCAACAGGAAAAGAAAGTAGTTACCATATTGTCTGGTGTGACTGATCCTGACAACCAAAGGAGACATCAGACTGTTGTTGCATAATGAAGGCAAAGACTATGTCCGGAATACCGGAGATCCCTTAGAGCGTCTTTTAGTACCATCATGCCCTGTGATTAAAATCAATGGAAAACTACAGAAACCCAACTCCGACATGACTGCTAATGGCCCAGACCCTTCCAGAATGAAGGTTTGGGTCACCCCACCAGGCAAAGAACCATGACCAGCTGAGGTGCTTGCTTAGGATAAAGGGAATATGGAATGGATGGTGGAAAAAGGTGGTTCTAAGTACCAATTAAGACCATGTGACCAGTTGCAGAAATGAGGATTGTAATTGTTATATTTCTTCCTTGTATGTGTGCCATCAATTTTTTTTTCTTAACTTATATAAGATATAAAAAGGGCTAGAGCATTTTCAGTTGTACACGTTAGTTTTGTCGTGTTAGGCACAAGTATGACTTTGTAATTGTCTTTATTTAGAGATTGTGTATGGTTTAAGGAGATCTGTACAGGTGCCAAGTTGACAAGGGGTGGAATGTGATGGTTACAGTTGTATGTCAACACAGCTATGCCATGATTTTCAGTGGTTTGGCAGTTATGTAATGATGTAGTTTGGCAGTTATGTAATGATGTAGTCATCCTCCTTGATGTGATCTGATGTGATCAGCCAATCAGTTGTAAGGGGAATTTCCCCGGGGGTGTGGCCTGCATCGCCTATATATACGGATGTTCTGGCAAAGCTTGCTTGCTTTCTCTGGATCCTGCATCCAGCTCATCATCATCTGACCTCTGGTTCTTGGGACTTAAGCCAGCGGCCTGTAGTATTGCCTGCTGATCTTGGATTTGTCAGCCTCTGCAGCCCGTGAGCCAGCAGCCTGCCACTGACCTGACAATCTTGGTTTTGTCAGCCCCTGCAGCTATGTGAGTCAAGAGAAGCCTCCAGGATGACACCTGACCCACAGACTTGGGACTTGCTAGCCTCTACAACCGCGTGAGCCGTTTCCTTGAGATAGATCTCTCCTCTCTCTATGTATATACACTTCACTAGTTTTGCTTCTCTAAAGAACCCAGACTAAAACAGGAGCTTTCATTCTGATGGGATGAAAAAAATAACAAAATAAATATATGAAAAATATAGGTTAGGCAGTAAGTGCTGTAGGAAAAAAAAAGCAAAGATGGTGAATATGGACTAAGGAGGCTGGGGAATAAGTTGCTTTTTTGTTTCCTTTTTATTGTGGTAAAATATATATAACATAAAATTTGCCATTTTAACCATTTTTAGTGTACAAGCCACTGACATTAATTACATTCACAATGCTATGCAACCATCACTATTTCAAAAACTTTTTCATCACCCAAAACAGAAACTCTGTACCATTTAAGAAATAACTCTCCCTTCTCCCTTCCCCTACTTCTTCTAATCTACTATCTGTCTCTATTAATTTGCCTACTCTAGATATTTCATTTAAGTAGAATCATATATAATATCTGTCCTTTGGTGTCTGGTTGATTTCACTAAGCATGATGTTTTCAGTGTTCATTCATGTATCAGTGTTTCATTCCTTTTTATGGATGAATTATGTTCCATTGTATGGATATACCACACTTTGTTTATCCATTCACATATTGATGGACACTTGGGTTGTTTCTATCTTTTGGCTACTGTGAATAATGCTGCAATGAGCACTGATGTACATGTATCTGAGTCCCTGCTTTCAATTCTTTTGGGTATATACCTAGGAATGGAATTGCCAGGTCACATGGTAGTTCTATGTTTACCTTTTTGAGGACCTGCCAAATTCTTTTCCACAGGGACTGCTTTTCACATTCCCACCAGCAATGGATGGGCTCAAGCATAATAATGATTTTGAGGATGGCGCAGGACCGGGCAGTGTTTCGTTCTGTTGTACACAGTGTCACTATAAGTCGGAACTGACTCGACAGCACTTAACAATAACACAACAACCAGCAATGGACAAGTGTTCCAATTTCTCCACATCTCTGTCAACACTTGTTATTTTCTGATTTTTTTTATAATAGCCATCCTAGTGGATATGAAGTGGTACCCCATTGTGGTTTTGATTTGCAATTCCCTAATGACGTTATCTTTTCACGTGCTTATAGGCCACTTATGCATCTTCTTTGGCGAAATGTCTGTTCAAGTCCTTTGCTCATTTTTTCATTGAACTGTATGTCCTTTTATTGCTGAGTTGCAGTTCCTTATATATTCTGGATATTAAACCCTTATCAGATATATGATTTCCAAATGTTTCCCATTCTATAGGTTGTCTTTTCATTTTCTTGATGTCTTTTGATGCACAAATTTTTTTTTTATTTTGATGAAGTCCAATTTATCTATTCTTCTAGTTCACTCTTTTATTGCTGATGCTTTTGGTATCATATCTAAGAATTCACTGTCAAATACAAGGTCTTAAAGATTTACCCCTATTTTTCTTCTAAGAGTTCTATGGTTGTAGCACTTATATTTTGGTCATTGATCCTTTTTTGAGTTAATTTTTGTATATGGTAAGAGACAGGGGTCCAACGTCATTCTTTTACTTGTGGAAATCCATTTGTTGAGGAGACTATTCTTTTTCCATTGAAAAATGGACTTGGCATTCTGTCAAAAATCATTTGGTCATGGATGTATGAGTTTCTTTCTAGACTCTCAATTCTATTCCATTGGTCTGTATGTCTATCCTTAAGCCAGTACCAAACCATTTTGATTACTGTGGCTTTGTAGTAAGTTTTGAAATCAGGAAGTGTGAGTCCTCCAATTTTGTTCTACAAGTTGCAAATTTAAATAGGCCAGGAAAGACCTTCTGAGAAGCTGGCATCTGAATAAAGACTAGAAGGATGTAAGAAGGCATACCAGACAATGTCACTGCTTCACATTTCCCTTTTCACCATTTTTGTGCCACAACTCTCCCATTACAATGTGATTTTTCCTAATATCCTGTACCTGCGGCTTTTCTTCAGAGGACTGCCTAGAGATGACCAATAGACCATGTGTTCTAGCACACAGTTGCCCAATTCCCAACCATAACCCTCAAGGCAGTGAAGAAACCAGGCTAGAGTTGCTTGACAAAGCCAAAGAGGTATGGGGATCCCTACTGAGGCCTTCCTATATCTTAATCCCTTACATGTCTCTGACACTTTTATATTAAAACTGCGATTTCATGTACATTATTTCAAGCACCACTCAGGCTGCCTGTTAACCTTTGGCGGTCTTTCCTTTAATCTTCCCCTTCAATATGCTCTTCAATTTCCTTCATCTCCATTAACGAGTGTAAAAACATTGGCTTTGCCTCCTTCTAGAGATACTCCACTCCCTACTACCACACTTAGGACGGCTCAAGGGCAGCTCAAAATTTCAGTCACTCTAAATGTCAACACTATTGTCATTTAGTTGTCAGCATAGTAATTACAAGTTAGAGATCTCATTTGTTCCTTCTTCCTCCACAGTGACCTACAACATCAGCCATATCCAAGGAAAGGGCCACTCACTCCACATGGTAAACCTACTTACTCATAATGATTTAGCGAGAAAAGCCCTGGACTAGTTCAGAAGCCTGCTTCAATACACATTTCTTATGCACCTAATAATGGGTCAAGCAATATTGCCCTGGTAATAAAAAGATGACCGAAGCAGAAGATTGAATCCTTACTCTCAAGGCCCTCATAATGTATTAGCGTTAACAAACACAACCCGATACAATGGGTCAGGTACAGGACTACAGTAAAGATATTATCAAAGTGCCATGGGAGTACAGAGTAAGGATTATTGGGGAAGAGCCCAGGAGGGCATCACAAACAGCCATTTGTGGTCAATTCGGAAGAACAGATGAGTCTAAGCTAAAGTGAGGGGCAGCGGTTCCCTGTAGAGGGAACCAAATGAGCCAAGGCACGCCTTGCGGCGGAGACCAGTGGTACCCCGGGAGCTGCGCGGCAATACAACCTGGGGCAAGGGGTTTAACATCGCTGGGTCTTGTCTCAGAAAACTAGCAATTACACCATAAAAGCGCTTAGAAAAAAACTGAAAAACTCCGTGGAAATGAGACGTATTGCTTTCTCGTTAAGGCTAATGACCGGATGTTAAGGCAGGAAATCCTGAGAAGTGCCTGTGAGGACATAAACTCAGTTAACCGAGGCCTCTACGCCTCCATCCTCGGCTCGCTTAAGTATATACGCCAGCTCAATGAGCCGGGAAAACAAAAGCCCAAGGAACGAGAGCCACCTGAGCCCAGCCCGGTTCCGGGGCCTCACGCCCGATCCCAGTTCCCACGATCTTCCGGCTCTGAGCCTGGAACCTGAAGCCACGTTCCCCGCCGCCTCTCTGTACCGCTTCGCACCGCCTGCCGCGTCACCCGACGCTATAGACGCTTTGATTCCTCCCAGCCGCGAAATCCAGACCTATCCCGCGGTCCGGCCACCTCCGCCCTTTCCGTAGTGACGAATCGGCGCCTGGCTGGGAAAGTACCCAAATTCGAGAAGTTTTGAGGAACTATGGGGCGCTTAAAAAATCATAAATTATTCTAAACATCACCAAACCCACTACGGAAGCTTTAGCTCTCTAAAGAAAGGTGAGCGAGGTCTGTAAATAAATTAAGAAGCAGTGTCGAAAGTGCGAGTGCGGAAGCTCGGGGCGCGAGGGGCGGGGCGTACGCGGGACAAAGGGAAGAGAAGCTGGAGTTGAGGGCGCTCTGTTTGCCCGCGGGTGAGTGTTTTGGATCGGGCCCGACTGGGTGGAGAGGGTGGCAAGTTGTGATGTCCCCACTTGGCTGGACCCCGACTTCCCAGGGGTTACTAGGGTTTAGGTTTGGCAGCGGAGCCAGAACTGGGGGCTGGTTGCGTCCACTTTGAGGCCTAGCGGTGTGAGGATTGGTAGGGAGTCCCGTCGGTGGCTTCTCCTCAGCCGCGGGATTTGCCCCGTCCAGTAGCCCTCCAAAATTGGCCAAAGCACTTATGTATACACCCCGTTAGTTGAGTTGCTGGTAAAGTGCATTCACCCCGACAAACAGAGGAAGCGACTTCACAGGAAGCCCTCGTGGCAAGCCATGCTCTGGTCCTCACCGCCAGGAATGTGGTTCCTCTTGGTCCAAGCAGCGACGTGGTAATTCACAGCGTGGCTTGGAGTGAAGAGCGAAGGCTCTGAAACAGTTTGGTCTGGGTTTGGAACCCAACTCTAGTACTTCCTGGCTGTGTGGTTTTCGGCAAGTTACCTAAACTCCCTGAGACTCCCTTTTTTTACTCTGTAAAATAGGGAGAGCAGTGCATGTCTTGTAGGGAAGTTGTAACTATTAAACGAGATCGTATAGGTAATTAGCTTATCCCTTATAAGGTATTCATTCAGGAAATACTGAGTATCATGTGCCAGGCACTGGGAATGGATCCACTGATGGACAAATGTACGAGTTCACTCTTAAAATTTATAGTCCACTAGGGGAGATGAGTAATTGCAAAGCATTAACAATAAAGTGATGTACAGGGAGTTTGCAGCAGTTGTCATTAGGGCTCACCAGAGCAAGGCCTACTGGAAGTTGACAGCTCCCTGAATGTGAGCAGTAGGGAAATCCGGACCAATGGTTTCTGCCTGTTTTTTAAGGAAAGAGCCAGCATGGACCATTGATAGAATAAGGTGTTTCTATCCACACGGGTTTCTTATTTCTTGTACTCTAGGGAATTCCCCTAAAATGCAAAATAGAACCAACTGTCATGTTCGTTTCACATAACGTTTGGATGAAAGTGCACCAGTAGACAATAAAAGTTTATTTGCCTTTTTTTTCTAAAAATGAATTTTTGTATCTTTGTACTCTACTATTTGCGATGTATATTAATGTAAGAAAGCAGCTCATATGTATATGGTTATGTTGTGAGCTGGTAATCCCAAGCAGCACACAATCTGGTCATACTGACAAGTAAAAAAATAAAATATAATAACAATATCATAGGTTTATGTAAATTGGCTAGGAATAAAGATGAGGGTGCTATTAATTCTACCCAGGTAACTTATCAAGAAAGCTCCATTAAGGAGAGAAATCTTGAAAATGGCTCTGAAGGATGAATAAGAGTTTCTCAGGTAGACTTTCAAAATTTATTCCCAGCAGGTATGAAGCTATTTGCCACTATAAGAGAATGTTACAGCTCATTATCATACCAATTACCTTTTGCACAGCCTCCAGAAATAAAATACTGCACTATTTTAATAGAAGTTTGTTACCATAGAAGCAAAGGTAGAGCTGCCGATAAGGAAGCTGTCAGTATCTGGTAGGCTTTGTTGGGGTGGGCCCAGACAATACATCACATTCTATTGTCATCTTTTTATCAGTCAGATTAAGTGTTTACATGGCATCAGCAAAATGTTTTCCATACAAAAGGTGGCTCAGTGTTGTTAAAAACCTAAAAGTACATGTCTAATATTACTCTTAATGTCCCCAGTTATTTGCTTTAGTCATTTAACTCTGATCAACCAAATGATCTACAATAACTAGTAAAATGATACACAAAAGGCTTGATTACTAGAAGACAACGTGAACTAATTTTACTCAGAAATACCAATTAAAACCACCCTATTCTTTAGGAAAACATTCTCTTATGCTTGCTGAGTTTTGATTCTCTTTTTTTTTTTCTTTTTTTTTTTTTCTTTTTTTATTTTAGTGTCTCAGATTCATTCTTAAGGAACTGAGAACTTAAATCTTCCAAAATGTCAAGTAAGTTTCATTTTTTATATTTATCAATCTATGTTAATAAGAGACTAATGCCCTAGCAAATGGAAATTCCAAAATACTCTCATTTTTTTTCTTCAAAACAGGACCATTGGTAGTTTTGTTGCATAGTATTATATCTCAGTTGTTTACAAGAAGTTATTTATTTTCTTTCAAACAGAAAGACCATCTTATGCCCCACCTCCCACCCCAGCTCCTGCAACAGTAAGTTTTAATTTTCTTGTTAATGTAATAGCCAAGTCTGGCCTTGATACAAAAACCCAGATGTCTTCCAGTGACAGTCACTCAATCAACACAACAGTATGAAAAAGTCAGCTAAAAAAACAGCACGTCCTACTAAATAAAATAACTCTTTGCATCTTACCTTGAACCAACCCCAACATTTAAGGAAACATACTGCTGAAATTCTGATCTCCTATGCTCAGTTTTTTTCCTTCTAAATGGGAAATAAGTGACAAGTTTAACACTTCTCTCTTATTAATCTTTGTTATTAAGAGTGTTTAAAGTTGATATTGAGTGAATGCTCGTTCTGGCTTTTTTCTTTTTTTTTTTTAAACCTAACCTTCAACTGGTTACATTTTTCTCTCCTTTTTTGTCTATATATAATTTTCATATTAAATCAGACAAGCTTCTAGTTCTACAATAATACTCACTGTAAATCTTTATTTTCAAGCTGTTCAAGTAAGGATTTTATTATCTGTGGGTCAGATCCTGCTATTGAATTTTATTCCACTTTATAAATAATTTTTTTTGGTTTGGAAATTGATACGTTTCAAAATGTCTAAATAATAGTTGTGACTTTTTTTCACCCAGCAAGCTCTGGCCCAGCTTGGTCAGCATGTAAAATAATTGTCCAATCCACAAAACAGGTATAACAGTAACGGTTTAGGCCTTGCTGAAATGGATTCCTTGGTTTTTTTTTTTTTAATAAAAAAACACTGTTAACATTGGCCATATCCTACAAAACCAGTTCTTTAATAGCTGTTAGCTTCCTTCCACACCCCCTACTACCTAAATTTCAGGCTAGCCTGCTTTTCACTGCTAATTAGGTCCTTGTGTAATTTTATTTTCTTTACTAGAGAATTTCTCTTATTTACTAACCCTCAGATGTATGTTTTAGTTATGTTTATCAATTTGTTTTTCCTCAGTAAGATGCTTTTATAAGGACATACTGTATCGCATGTTCTTAGTTCATTTTATGTAATATAAAATACACAGTCTCTAAAGTTTCTGCCAGTAGATCTTAAAGTCCGCTATTTGGTTTGTTTTCTTTCTTAAATCAAAGAACATTTCTTATGACCATCTCTATGGCACTCTGCTAGTGGCTATACAGGTGGAGCTGAACAGTTGAGATTCCTGACCTCAGAGAGCTAACCACGTACTTCACTTTTGGAAATGGATAATTGTAATGTTTTAGTTTCCTTTTTCTTTTTTTAGTTCCCTCACTTACTTTTCTTACATTATTGCCTCATATTGTTGAACAGTGATTCTTATTGTTTATACAGCCTTTGAAGGTGTCATTTTGATGTAAATACTGCCTCTTTGACAATGTATGATATCTTGAGAACAAACTTGACTTTTTGAGATTAAAATAGCTCAAAAACCAAGTGTCTCCCTTATGACTTTTTAGATATAGAAAGGGATGTTTTGCTTTTCTTTAGTCATATTTCTGTACCATTATAATTTCACATTGACACACAAAATACAGAAGATTAGGGATTAGGACATCCAACAGAATGGATATTAAATGAATTATTCACCTTCCTTTTTTTTTTCCATTACTTCTACCACCACCACCTCCACCACCTCCACCACCTCCAC